TTTGAAGTTTGGGAGCCTGAATTATTTTACTCACTCTGTTCTAAAATCTAGACAACTACACTACAGTGCATAATGCCAAGGCAATACAAGGGTATGTGGGGCTTTTCCCAACAAAACAGCAACACTAAACTCTACGGCATCTATAAACTCAAATAAATCTGTTGTATGAAGAGACAAAGCTCATGCTTAAAAATTAAAAGATGGTCAAAAACATTCTATCTATATAATGTAATAGAAACACAGACAGCCTAGTAAAGCAACAAAGAACTGGTTGATACCAAGAAATTTGGTGGAAAATTAAAATGCAATATATTTTATAGGGTTAGGGACAATTCATACATCAGAGATCCAAGACCAGACTATTTCATAATCCTCCTTCATTTTTGAGACTCAATTCTTTTTGCAAGACATTGTATCAGTGATTAATGAAAAAAAAATCCCTTACAAATGCAATATGAACTGAAGAAAAGGCCTGCAAAATTCCTTGGTAGATGAAATGTTTAAGTTGGTTTATTTCACCTGAATTCTTATTTTCAGCAATCAAATTGAAATTCAAGATACAGCGAGAGCTATATCAGTATTTCCATTTTAAATCTGAAGGGCTTATCATTTGGCCTTAACAATTCATCCTCCAATGAAATCTGATGCATATTGTTTCAAACTAAGATTGTGTTTTGCTTTAATTTCTATACAATGGCTTTATCTGCTTTCAAATATGCACTGATGTATGCATTAAAAGAACCCTAAGTTAATATACACAGTGCCACGCTACCAGCTTAAGATTCTTTTTAGGGCTCTTATTTGTTAGAATGTGTTTTGTTCTGAAGCATGTGGTATTTGGCAAGTGATTAATCCATTACAGAATCTAATTGCTTTTGTTACTTGAGAAAAAAATTAGACTATGATGTTAAGAAGTTTTTAAAATAGGCCATTGCCCGTAATCAGTATTTTTTTAATGGAATCTAGCTAGGATTTTTATGATGTGTCTACATACCTATTTATACGGCATACCATAGGCATCTATTTGGTATATGGTGTGTTGAAAAAAAAATGCTAAACGCACAGCAACACAGCAGGGTGTAATGTTTCTAAACCCGTCATTCACATCTACTCAGTAAATAACATAGGCCAGTTTGCTCTCAGTTACTCTAGAGCAACCATGGGATTTGCACCTGCAGAACAGACCAGAAACGGGATTGGCTTTTACATTTATTTTTGTATACATAGAACATGAATCCTGTTGTCTTTAAAGTTGATTAATGAAACTGGCAAAGTTCCTACTAATTGAAATGAAAGAGCACTCGAATCTATGTTTTTCTTCAGATGCTTAGCCAACACACGTCCTGAAAACACAGCTCTGGGTACTCTCTCCTGGTGTGGTTTGAGTAACTGCTATAGACCCAGATGGACTGTTCACAGCTAAAAGTATTCAAGGATCTGGACCAAGCTTATTGTTCAAAATTAATTCCCAGCTCTGAACATATAACGTATACTGTTCATTATTATGCTGCTGTGCACAATGGACCTGAAGTGCTACCGAGTGAAGAAACTAAACAGTATCAGGATCATGGCCCAGGGAGAGGCTCTGGTTCTCACTCCTGAGATTTGAATACTTTTCTTGTCTCCACCACTATCTGAACGTGGTTTTGGCTTATTTTTTGTTTTTGTTTTCATATCTTTCAAAACATTTGCTTTTCTTTTTATTTTTTAGGACCTGACACTGCAAAGATACATGCATGTCTTTAACCGCGTGATCTGGGAGTAGTTCAGTTGGCCTCAGGTGCCTGGGAACATAAACAACAGGTACCGAAGTCCTATCTGTGTAAACTCTGACATCTGGGCACTGCCTCATGCTGTGCATCATCGACAGTACTAGAGGGGCCATGATAGCTTTGGCTTTCTAGGTATTACTAAAATAAAAAATAAATAAAAAGAAAAAAAGAGGTGAGTCTGCTCTGAAGAAGGTAGGCACACCGCCTAACTTTGGGCACTTACCCTCAGTGCCCAAACTGGGATGCTAATCTTTCTGAAATTTCTATGCAGTCACTGGAGAGAGGTGCTTTCACCAAGTTAATTTTAGAGATCCTAGCATCCTGCCCTAAGGTGCCGTGCAGAGAAGCCTGTCCATCTTAGCTGCCTATTAGCATGCCCAGCTAACAAGCTAAAATTAAGCACCAAACTCAAGAGCTGAGAGCAAAGTACCAACTAAGTCACACAAGGTTTCACTTCAAACTCAGATTTGACACAAAGAAAAAAAATCAAAAAGATGGAAATGATACAACAAACTATTACCACTGTTACCCTAACTAGTACCAGCCTTGTGTTTCCATACACTTCAAAGGAAACATCAATGCCATATAAGGCCTGTTTGTTTCTCTAGCTAGCCCAACATTACAGCTCTTTCAGAATTAAAAATACAATTGGGGTGCAAAACATATGATAAAACTCTCCTTTAACTTCTACCCGGTATGTTATCAGCAGAACAATGTTTTATCCCCTGAATCCGAAAATTTGAAAGGATCTGTCCAGTTCAAGTTAAATGTAGTTTCTGAACATGGTTTTCACATTGGTATTACCAGAATAGAATTACAATGCAAAAAAACCCTGAAATTCCAGGGACCTCAAGATGTTATAGAAGAAATAGAATTCTGGAGCGCTCTGACTACATCTAGTGGAAGCAAATACATTTCATTCCTAATAATAAGCTGGTCTAGTATTGTGAATGGAAAGGTCTTAACCTCATTAAAATGCTCTGTAGGTCTAAACAGAATTGAGTTAGGCATCATCTGAGATATGCAATTCCCCTAACACATCAAATTTTTAAGACAGTCTGATTTCCTTGGAAGAAATGTTTGAGGGTCTTTCCCACCCAAATAGCAAAATAGAAAAAAGAAAAGGATAAATTCCTTCAGATTTTTTTCAAAAACTTAAATTGACTAGGTGTTGGTTGGATGAGATAAAAAATTACTACTCTTTCAGAAAATAGTTATGTATGTTGAAAACCTCGACAAAGAAATTTATGTTTTTACACTAAATAAGACTTATATTGTTTAAATATAATTTGATTAGTGGATTGGCAATCAGGGTGACAAGAAAACATAAAAACCCCACAAATTCCTTAGCCAGTAGAAAAAAAAAGGAATTTTTGATGTATTTCCAATTTTTATTCTTTGCACATCCGCCCAAAATTTCATTTAATTAACAGCTCTGAGATTCAGTCTGTTCGTGTACTGACATACCAGAATCATGTCAAGAAAGCAAAATATGGAATTAACGTCTCAAAACTGCATGCAATCTTTCCAAACCTCACATCTATTCCTTCCCCCTCATGAAACGGGTGATCTTACGCAAACACAGCCACAGAGATCGAAGCTAGAGCAATTGAGAAGAAGTCAGATTTTTTTTAAGCTAAAGAGCTTATGGATGTTTCAAGAGTTTTGTTTTTGAAATCTGCACTCAAATCCCATGAAGTGTAAAGAAATGTACCTCCTTACTATCTTGTAACTAGAAGGGACATTATAATCATGTCATTTAACTGTTGACTGCTCGTGAAATTTCTGAGGGAAAAGAAGGATTTGGTGCCATCCATTAATCACTGATGAGGCTTGTGTTTACATGAAGAAAATGGACAAAAGAAAACCATGGTTTGAAATGAGAAATCACAAGTGAATTTAAGAAGAATCATTTAAGAATGATTTTGGTTACTTTTCCTAAATCAGTGTTCCAATCTAACCAAATCCTTCAATGACCACAAAAATGTTACCACTTCCCTGAGTGAAAGATTAGGAAAAGAAATTATGAATATAATTATTTTGTGGTTTATATTTGTAAATGTAATTCAAAAAAAATTAATAACAGGCATATCACTTTTCTTGTTCTAATTTTTCTAAATATTTTCTGGACTTGACCCTTCATTCACTGTTAAGAAAAAAAGGGACATCAGTGGACTGAGTGGCACTGAGTGGACTGACATGTCACTGTTTGATATCTTTTCCTGTTTCAAACAAATGCTGCACCCGCAAGTGTATTCAATTTAATTCATAAAAAACTTATGCCCTCACTACAAAGCAGTTACCAGATTTGGTGTGAAATATGTGTTTTTATAAACACCCCAAGTGCTTTAAAACCTGAAAAAGTCAAGAATGAAAAAAAATCTTAACAGTTTCAGGAAAATTTAACACTGGTTTGAACGCCTCCCTCTATTCAGAAGAGAGATGGCCAAAACATCAGCCATTTTATCTCCTACAAAGGGCTGCTGTATAAAACATGTTAAATGAAATGCACAGCATGTGAGAAAAAATCATGTATACTAGAGCTGTTAAATTTTCAAAATATTGCAGAAGAAATTCATGGACAAATGATTCAGGAGAGGAATGCTGTTTATACAACACTATTGAACATTGACATTGCAGACACAGAAATGTAAAGACTGAACTCTAAATTAATCTGAAGCACATGCAGTATGTGTAACATATGCTACCTTGACATATTATTAACAATAAACAGCTAAAAACATTTTCTTAAAGGAGACGTCTCCACAAATCATGGTTTAGAAACTGAAGTAAAGGTATTTATAATGTAACATTTGAACCCTGAAGTCTTATTATCACTGATTTGTCTTGGGCTTTGACCTTTGAATCTAACCTGATCATTGAACTTAAAATGTTCAGAAGCTTGTTTTCATTCAGTTATAAAATACATTAAATAACAGAAGTCACACTGGCACCAACATGTCAGTATGGCCAAATTTGAATTTGCAACGCATGAGCAAGAGAACTGTATGCAAAAATTGAGAGAAGATTGACAATGAGAACAAGTTTCCTCTGCAAAAATGTGAATTAGATTTCGTGTGACATTCAGAAAGAAAAAATAAAGCTAATCCAAATGGCTTCTAGAATGTCTAATTGCTAATTTTTATCATTGTTTGGTTTATCAAGGTCATGCCAGCTAACTTGTTTACCAAATCTCTTCACTAAATTATGAAAAATTACCGATATTACCTTCTGTGCCTTGCATATTTGCCACTAACATGACCACTGCCATCACAGCCAGGCGTGGGACAGCTGCAAAAGAGAAAGAATTAATTATATAGGTGCTGGTGTGCTGCAGAAAGATTATACTAAAAGCAGGCAGTAGGTATTACAGAGATGGAGGGCAACAAAGACAGAAAGAGAAATCAAATAACTGAAGGGAAAAAAAAGAGGGGATGCTTTTTATTAGCAAGTCTTAAGGGAATTAATTTCATCAGTGCAGCAGGGCATGAGCAAACCACCAATGAACTTGAAAGTGCATTATACCCATTAAAAGGCATGAATTTTCTAAATTGCTAATGGGGATACATTTTACACTCAGAGCACTAACCTGAACAGCTCTTGTATGGCTGGTTCCACGGGAACTGCAGAGAGATGGAAAATATATAAAAATTTATCATCTATTACAAGTACCCCTCTTCTACAGAAAATTACCAGAAAGGTTGTGTAAAAGCAAGGGTCAGAATGAATCGTGCAGAGAGATTCTGGAGGATGAAGGTCACCCTGAGCGGGGGCCTTGAGTGATTTACTGAAGCAAGAGACGTACCTCGAACACCTTTGGAGCGTGTGCGATGGCGCTTCTCGTCTGCATCCACCTCCATCTGGGAATAGATTAGCAGGCAGTCAATGTTCTTATCCTGCATGCACAGACTATCAATGCACAGACTGATACAGTCTCTCACACAATTTATTGACACTATTTTAATTCCATTTTATCCTATAAGGGGAAGTCCACCTTACAGGGGATTTTTAGGATCTTTATGTTTATTTAAAAACAGAAAACGCGGTAATTTCTGCTTTATGCAGTCGATTTGCATGCCCTGCTTTTACAGCAAATTGTGTGCAACTAAGTGCTGGTTCCTCTTTTTTTCTGACATAAACCCCTGATTACTCCCATATATTTTGAAACAAAGATTCAATAGATTTCTATACAATTTAAAACTAAAGTCAAGGGGGTTGTACACCATAGCTGGCTTTCTAACCAAATGCTGTGCTGTGGGAAAGAGAGGAAGTAATAATGAGTGAAAAGGAGATAAAGAATCATCATTAGAACTTCAAAGATTTCACGTTATTTAACATGGCATTATGACCTTTGCCAATGTGTTTCGTTGTTCAGATGTGGTTTTCAAATTTCAGGAATGGGCTCACGTGCTCCATATGGCTAAATCTTTACCTTCATTTTATGAACAGCATGTAGCTTTCTATGCAGTAATAAATATAAGGCAATCCTAAATATTTACCGGACAGGGGCAGGGCTGCAGATTAGACCTAGGGAATTATCATAAACACTGATCTATAGTAGTTGCCGTAGGGCCACATGGTTTCTTCTGACCTTCCATGTACTACTGCCACCAAACCTTCAAAGCTAAACTGCCTAGGCTAGCTAGAGTTTATGATTTTGTACAACACAAGCAGATTGCACTGAACTACGCTGAGACTGTGTCAGGGAAAATATATGCAGTATGTGGTTCATCAGCTCCTTTCGATGTGGAAGAACGGGATGGCAAGATGGTTCTGCAGTGGTTCATACATAGAGATGATGTTGTAAAGGTCAGGAAGCACAAATATTGACCATGGGGCTCTAGTTCCCCCAGAAAAAAAAAATCAGTCACTGGTTTATAGCAACATCCTTGGATTGGTATCTGGTAAGATGGTCACATATCTCATGCAAAAACATGGAAATATGTCCAAGTGACTTGCAGTTAACCCTTCAATCACATCACTTTCTTTGGTCAGTACCTTAACACAAATGATGTGGGGAGTAACTAACAAGGAAGAAACCAAGGGGTGCTTTTACGGAGCAGCCTCAACTCATTACATCAGGAGGGAAGAGTCAGCACAAAAACATCTGTGGGTGACAGGGATTTGGTGGAAAGACAGGGCCACTCCCACAAGGTTCTGTGCTACTGATGTAGTTCTGCTGCTTGGTAGTCGCCCTGTTCCTGGCAGTGTGATTTATTCCACACTACAGGAATGATCTTAAATAAACAGGTATCATGAAAGCTAATACAGCACCAGCCTCTATTAGGAGGGTTCAGTGCAGCCTTCCAACGGGGACCTTTGCATCACTTAGAGTGGATTTCATTTTTAAATGAAGACACCTACAGATAGCTGTGTGCATATACACCAGGAGCGTAACATTCCATCATCTTTGACTAATGGTGCTATCTGAGATATCGTAAGGTATCCCATGAAGCCTTCAAGGTACAGAAGGGTACAGATAGGTCCTCTGTTATATCTGCCAACTCTGTGTAGATGTTTCAGATACCCTCTGGCAGCAGAAATGGCACCAGCTGCGTATGCTTAGGCAACTGAACTCATCCCTAGTTAACATAGCCACCAGAGCTCAGGAACAATTCCTCTGGTCAGCTACTAGGCATTACTTCAGGTTGGCCAGAATCAGCCTCTAGGCACCTTTGCCCATACTGTCTAGCTCTCCATCGGCTACAGCATGAGATACTTGGCATATCTGTAGATACCTACTACAGGCACCTAAACGGAATCTTAAACTTTAACCCATCCACAGTGTCTATCCTACACCTTGGGTTCACACCCTGGCTGGCTTCTCAGCTCTTAAGATCTGATATGCGTTTGAAGTTTTTCAAGTTGCCATATCAAAGCACAGAATAGAACACAGATCTCTGGAATATAAAAAGTACCCACTAGATAATGATATTCTTTTCATTTTACTAATAAGAAAGCAGTACATTGTGCTACTCTGGAACTCTTGCAATGTGTAAGGACTTGACAGGAGACCAGAAGTGGAGTTACTTGATCTTCAGCCTAGTATGTTTTTTTAAAAGTTTGAAAAACATTATCTAGCATCATTTGTCACCGCTGAAAAATCTGCTGAAAGAACTATTATGATCTTAACCTGGAAATGCTGCCACAGTTGTTATGATAGTCTGTGTAAATTTAGAAGGGGCAAACTACAAAACAGATTTGCCTGTCTTTCTAAACCAAAGTAAGCACTTCAATTCAAGAATGCTGTGAGTACACTTTTAACTACACTGACAGTCAAAGAAGAAATCACTAAGGTGGAAAAGCCCCTGTAGGATCCACACAATCCAGATCCAGAAGCAGGTCAAAGAAGTGAAAAAAAGATTTTAAAAGCTGCAGGCATGCAGTGCTATTTTAAATTTTGTTGTGTATCCTACATAGCCTGCTGCTTCTCCAGAAAGGCAGAGATCTACCTGCCTTTGTCTGTGACCTAGATGCCCTGTCATATATGGCAAGGTGTGTCTTGGATGCTCTGTGACACATCAAACGATGGCAGGTGCCTATGTTTAGCCAATGGAATCTTGCTTTGACCTTATTTATACGCTCACTCACAGATCTTCAAGACTTTTGTCTTTCATATCAAACCTTCAGCCTTCATCCCTCCACATATTCAATGTTGGATGCTGGGAGTAAGCAATTTCCTGAAATTCTAAATCAGATGCACATTGGTTCCATGAAAGAACGGTCACCTGACAGCCTACCTTAGCAGTCCCCAGATGCACTCCTAGCACTTCCGTGGCCAGGAACAGAATTCTGCCCCCAAGGTCATTAATCCCACACAAACACAGTCTTCCTCCCCATTTTCACATGCAGAAAAAGGGAAGGTGGACCTTAGTGACTCACAAGGAGATCACCTCAGCAGTACTACTTTATTCATGACTTTTCTGTTGCAGTTTTGCAGAATACTGAGTCACTCTCCCAGAAGAGAATGTATGAACACCAAGGACAGGCTGGCTAGTATTAGTTTTAGCCTGGCATCTAAGAGGAGACATCTACAAGTTTATGTATGAAAGCAAAGAGCAAGGCATCAGGAATAGGAAGAGAAGAAATTCTTAATCTGGCTACAAAAAGAAGCTCTACACATGAAAATTGAGAGGTCTAAGTTCTTAATTCTGAGGGGAAAAAAAAAATGTCTTGGTAGAAATTAAATCTGGTAAGCCATAATTGAAAATAATCAAATTACTGGATATGCCTTACTTAGGGATGATGGGCAGAAAGAGGTAGAGCTAGCAACTCTGTATCACCATTACGTACATTATGTTATCGAAGATTTAGAGAAACAAGACCCTAAATAGTTATAGATCAGTGCTCTAACTAACAAATCACAAGATGGGGTACAAGAGAAGGTCTCTTATATTGGAAAGTATGTTGAAGACAACCAACTAGGACACGAAACAGGTTGAGTAGTTTCTTTAGCATTGGAAAAAAATGGGAAGGAAAAAAATCTGTGTTGTGGTGAAGGATTCTTACGGGGTGGCAGAAGAATGCTATAACCACAGGAGTATCATTGAAGTTTCTAAAAATTGTATCTGATAAATTTCTCGTGTAAGAAATGATTTAACCATCTCAAGGGAAGTCTATACTAAATCTCACTTTTCTGGGTAAAAATGAAAAAAAAATCCCTGTGTGGTCACCTGCATGCAGGAAATGAAGATTTGTTCTCTCTTAATGTACAGAATCTGATCCCAATAACTAATACACACACGCACACACAAACACAAGGCACTTTGAAAGTGTCAGTGTACGAAAGCTGGAAATAAGCATATGCCTAACTAAGTAGAAGAAAATATTTTAACACAAAATGGCTATGATTAGGAGCAGCTGAAAATACTTAATTAAACATTAAAAAAAGGTGCATAATAACATCAGAAGGATGCACTAATAGAAAAGAAAAAAAAAGTAATAAACCCTCTTGAACAATCCAAAGCTTAAGAAACCAACTTGTAGCTCATGAGGATTAAAAAATAATTCAAATGCTTGTATACAGATGTAGAGCAGTTTACTAGTAAACATAAACTATCAATAAGAAGAACTAAAATTATCAGCTGAATGGGAAACGTGGTAATAACAAGAAATTACTTAAATATATTTGGAAGAAAATAACTTTTTTTATTATTTGGAGATAATTAAGAGCTGGTTTTATTAACCATCAAGGATTTTTTAAAAAAGTAAAAAAAGCAGCTGGTTCTTATTTTAAAATCAAAGTCCCAGTCAATGTTTACACCCCAAAATTAACATAGCCTGATAGTTCTCCAAGACATTGCTGTTGATATGAAACACTCTTGGAACACTTGGGAAATGCTGGAGAACTGAAAAAAAAATCTGAAAAATTGTACTTGTAACTGTTTAAATTAATCTTTACTAAGTGCTGAGAGGATGGTGTGGCTCACTGACATTGACATTCCTGACATTGGCCCTTAGTACCATCATACAAAAGCTGATATGGGATACAAGGCAATGACGTAATTAGCACCAGTCAACACTTTATCATGGAAAATCTGTAGTCAAAAAAACACTTGAAAATGCTCTGTGATGATACTTTAAAATTTGTCGATAAAGGTAGCTATGTTAGGATATGTTATACTTAGATACCTTTTAAACATTTTACTTTCCCTCACTGAGCAGTCAGAGAATAAAATAAGCACTTCATAAAAACAGCATATTTATGACAGATAACAAATATTTCTCCAGAAAGAAGTATTTTGCATAAAAATTACTTTCTTTGCAAAAATGATTGTAAAAATTAAAAAATACATATTTAATAACAGCTTTTCTACTATAATCCCACAGGTATATGCTTTAGCCCTATAGTAATCAGTAT